ATTAATAATAATAATCTCTCTCTCTCTCTCTATATATATGTATATATATATATATAAACAGTCTATATAGCTGCATTAATAGGTGTTTATTATATTTGCCCGGAGTGCAGCTGTAATTAAAACGGGGAACTACAAGACAGGAAACTAAGGCCCCTTTCACACAGGCTGATCAGGAGGGGATCTGTGCACGGATCCCCTCCTGATCAGAGCGGTATGGATCAGATGTCACCTCTGTGACATCTATGTCCATCCAGTTTTTTTTCCTCCATCTTGCAATGGAGGAAAGAACTGAAATGACTGGACCACATGTCAGTCTATGAGGAATCGGATGTAAGGGGACATGTGTCAGACAACCCCCGATTCGGCACGATCAGGTCCAGTGAAATGGATCTCTGATCTGTTTGTTTTTCTGGACCTGGCCGAAGTCAGGGGCAATCGGGTGTAAATGGACGCCCGTCCATTTACACACGGCTGCCCATAGACTAGTATTGGGCATCCCATCCAGGTCTGCTTGAAAAACTGACATACAGACCCAATCGGACCACCCGTTTAACCGTGGTATGGAATCCATATTTTTTTTTTTATATTGAAGAAAAAGAAGAGGAAGAGACATGTATACAAAATCACCTTCAGCACTTTAGTACGTAACAGTTCAAAATGTCAATTTAAAAGAAACATTTGAAATAAAAAAATAAATGTTAAAATTAAAAAAAAATTAAAATGTTAAAATTTAAAATAACAAAATGTAAATATAATTCCTACAAAAATGTGCTAATCACATAAAACTGAAACATTTTTTGGAACAAACTTTAAATGAACAAATTGCAAAGTGCAATCAATATAAATGGAAATTTCCTAAAAGTCAGTCAGTCATTGAATAATAAAATAGAGGTCGCAGACACGGGTATCACCAACAGTTTTGTAGTAATTCTAAACAATATTGTAAGATTCGGAGGAGATATTTGTACTTACCGGTTCAGCTTTAGCTGCTTAGCTCCAGGTAATCAGTGCCAGCCAGTGACAGTCATTGTTCACACTGAACCCAATAGCCAAACACGCTTTTATGTCATGTCAAAGTTCGCCAGCGTCTGTAAGGCAGCAGAGACCTGATTGGTGGAGAGAGGTGCTTACACAAGGCTTTGAAAAGGCCACCAGATAACAGATAACACTTTTCTTTCCTGAATTTCATGAATTGTAAAATACAAACAAACCGTAGCAATGCCCGGCGTCAGTCCAAGGATTGTCTATTACAGCGTAAAATATCAGAATCTGAATATTTATTTCGTTAAAGCTGAACGTCAGGCAAAACGACTAAATACACGCATGTAATACATACAAGGGAGCTGTTTTGCCTGCCAAAGGATTTGTATTTCTGTCAATCCTGTCCTGGGGTTTACACAGCGCTGTCACACCCAGCAGGGCAGGAGACCTGATGTTTCTTTTCTGCAGTTCAGTGACACTTGAGAGAGTCTTGTCCCTCCCCAGCCTGTGATTTTAAAGTAAAAGGAGAATCTCCCACCGGGCTATTGTATTCTGACAGGGGCGGGGTGCCTCTGTCAGAATACCAGAACAGCGGTTGCCGTCACTACTTGCCTGAAAATCTTCTAACCGGCTCCTTTGATTTTCTGATCGGAGGATGCCAGATGGAAGGCTGCCGACAGGGGCCACCCACTGAACGAATTTTGGCTCAGA